CTTTGGGTCTTATCCTCTTGATCGACAGGGGGCTGTAGGCTATTGACACATCCCTTTGATTTTCAAGGGATTCAATTTGAAAAGATAGTCCTGCCAGCGTCTCTGATAGTAACGTTTCCGACCAACTTTTCAGTACCGTGATAAAGACAACGTAGAGCAGTCTATCGAGTCGAATTATGACTGATCAACCGACAGCCTCCTCTTTTCAAGAGGAGGTGTCTATCTCCAAATACATATTGAAAGCGGGCATTGTGACTTGAACATCGACTACCTCCACTTCTACATAGAATCTATAATAGAATGGTAGTAGAAGGCGCGATGCATATCTAAGGCTCAAGGATCGATCTTGTCTGGTACCTAGTACTGCTAACTGTGTGACATGAGTTAGAGCACCATATTTGATGTGTTTTTTTTTCTTGACCAGTATTGTTTTTTCAGCTCTTCATTGTCATAGCAATAGCTGCTGTGAACAGTTGGGGAATCACATTAACTTACAACTGTCCTAACAATAGTACTCACAAAGCTGAAGTATCAACATTCAGGTCTGATTTCGAATTAATTTTGGGTGAATTTTTTTTAAGTCCTAATTTTGAAACTATTACCATTTTTCCTTAATTTTGGTATGTTGATAAGATTTAAATTCTTTTCTTTTTCCCTAAGTTTCATTTGAAAGGCTGTTGTTGTTTTCACATAAGTTTTACTTTTTCAATGAGACCAATTACCCACAGGAATGTGTAGAAAATGGAAAGTGGGATTTTCCTGTCATTGTTTTAAAACTAATCATGTCATTTTTTTTTATTTCATGTTATTTTCGAGAATTCCCATGAACTATAGTCCCAAAGTGTCAGGGCTACTTAGAATTGATGATTATCGATCGACGTTATTCTCAGGACTTTGCATTTATACTAATATTACGTTTATTCCAGTCTGGGCGGAGCTACAATAGAAGATTGTAAAAATTCCTCATCACATCTTTGGACGTCGGACGACAGCGCTACTGGGTGAGACTGTTTCCATGGATTTTGAGAATGCCCTTTTTTCTTTCTTTTATTCTTTTTTTTCTGATCTTTTCCTGATTTTGTTTTCTAATCATAGTTCATAGTTAGTCTTATCCCTCCAAATTGACCTGGTTGTAAATCCGGCCTCACTAAGAGCTCATTGTCACGATAGGTGAATTCCTGGCTGTCCATCCAGATGTCGAAACTCAGTGGCATTTACTTTTACTCTGCTTTTCTTCCTAACCTAGAACCTTTTTTTGAGAATTAACCCAAACATTTTGTTTACAGAAGTGCTGGATTTTTCTATTTTGTCAACGTTACGGCATTGATCTATGTTCTTGTTATTATGTTTGTCTACGTTGTATTTTGGCCATTGTATCAATCAGAAAAACGAGTAGCACTTGCGGTAAGTACAGCCAATTCTACACCATCTGTAATGATCCACCACAGACGATCGATGGTCCGTAATCCTTATGTGGTTCAGGACCTTTCCTTCACAGCATTATTCTTTATTTTATTCTTTTTCTGCTCAGCCTCATGGTGGGCCGGCTCGAACAACTTGGGCCATGCTACCAGGTAGGCCGATTACTGCACTATTTAAGATTTTCTTCATTTTCAATTATACAAGTTTTATAAATTCAGTGTTTCAGTGAGGAACGTATTACCGAACTGATGAATTCAAGTGATGCATTTTGGAAGGTCAATACAGAAAACACAGATTTGTCCTTGGCAAGGGACACCAGTAATGGAAAACTTGTAATTTCTGTGGTAAGTTTGACAGCTTCTCCAAAAAAGAAGACAGAAATGGGCACCATGAACCGTAGCCAAATAAATTATGAAGCTAATCATGCGAAATGAGCTCGAATTCTCCTTAGCGATCCCTTTGGGTCAGCTGAGCTCTTATTCTCACAAAAAGAAAATGTTGTCGTTATATTGCCTAGAGGGGAATTTTAGCTCCGCACAGACTTTCTGTTATCATTGTTTTTGGAATTATCCCTTACGGGCATATTTTAGAAGCTACGTTGTGCGGTAAAGGGGGAGGCAATAGAGTAGGGCCATTCCGTTACCCTCTCATCAGCTTTCCTTCACAAGGAAGCCATTCAGTGGAATTTGGTTAGAGTGTGCTGCTCGCCTTTCAAGATAAACTCAGCAGTAAGACCAAATCCACCTTGAATCAGTATCGATAGTAATGCCCTTCTGCCGCGCGACGGATCCTTTGACACACCTCCATAATCCTTAAGAATCCAAGCCCAACAGTAAACAAAGTGCGTGGCGCAATCTCCCAATATGCCAACAGCACGAAAAATCACAACCTTAGCTAGCGCAAATGTTCAGATCTTTTTCTAAAAATTTTCTGTATTGTTTATTGTTCCTTCTTTACAAATCTAGTCATCGATTTCAGCTGAGTGATTGGGTATGCGTATTCACATTTGCAATGAATTGCTGGTTTGTTTGGAAGGAAGTGGTACCGAAATCAAATCAAAATCCTTCACAAATTGCCTAAATCGAAGATCTGTAGATGTTAAACGGCTTATTCACGTTATTCGACGATACGTTTGTTGAATGTGTGTTTTTTTTATTCCGTTGTACACTGTATTTAATAAGAGTCATATGGTATNGGCTGGTTTGTTCAGAAACCACTACAGTTGTAATGTTTCTGAAACCGGTTCCACTCATGCCAATAATGTCACACCCTTCGGCGTCTGCTAGCTAGATCAACTGTTATCTGTAGATTCCAGAAATAGTGGGGTTGAATTTCCGCGGAGCATTGCAAAGCTACCACAATTCCAAACGAGGGTCAAAGGCGTGGCACGAACCGAAAGACTCCTTCGAGGCCTAGTTTTTTTCTTTGCATGAGTAGCGCACTACAGGATAACTAGTCAAGGATTCCTGGAAGTTCAGGACTCGAAGATTTCCTGTCGTCTTTTACTTTTTATTTTCCTTTATTTGTAGTATTAAATGCCAAAATGTGTCCTGTGATTGTCCTTCGGAAAAAAAGCATCGCTGGTGGTAGCCTTCGTCTTGCACAGTCATGCCGACGTTGCAATGCTAGATCCTATCAAGTCAGGATGTGTGAATGAGGGATAAGCCGGGGACTTCTGTTCCCAATTTTTCTGAGCAGTAATTCAATAGCGGTCTACACATCGAACTTATGTGAAACGACAGCTTCGCAGAGAAGTGCTGTCATAGAAGGGATCACCATTTTGTAAAAGTTTTTTTTCAGAGTTGCTTTTTTACGTCCCTATCTTCTGCAAACGAGCTAATCTCTCTCTTCAATTTTCGTTCACAAAGATTCTTAACTAGTTCCTCGTGAAGCTGATTGTGCGGAGAAGTTCTCGCCATTTTTCAAAAAAGTAGTCTTCCAGTCCCATTGATTAAGCGATCAGCTCTCTGACTGACCTGTCCAGCCGATAATGCCTTCCGAGAAAGCCTTAACATTAAGCTTATAAGGAATGAGTACCAAATACTTGAGTTGAAAGGTGTTTGTACCCCTCGTTACAGACAACTGACTCATCTCTACTTTCAAGTGAGGCTTCCTGAACAGCCCTATCTGAGTTTCAGAGAGTTCAATGGTAGATCATCTACACTTAATCAGATAGGGCACAAGTTGTGCGTGGTGCCAGCGTGGTGCTGCATTACGGCCCGATTTCGATTTATTCTCATCACCCAATCCACCTTTCTTTCTCGTTTTTCTATCCATCTATCTATTTTGAGATGAGATCTTTCTTGTCATAATATCTTTTGATTCTATTTCTTCGTTTTTCTTCTGTGAATCGTCTTCCAGAGACCTATCCACTCATTCGACCGGTGTGATAGGATTCACAGGCCTCTTCGACAGAATCTTTTTCCTCGTAATGGAAAAGCTACAATAACTCTAAGAAGGGGTTTAAAGGTAAGAATAGTATTGATTTGCTGTGTGATTGAACAGATAATCAATGCTAAGCCATATTCTATAGCACGTCTGAGGGAGAATCCGTGCTGGTGATATGGGCAGAGCTACATACGTACGGGTTGAACCTCTCGCGTCCCGTCAGTTATGAAGTCAAACTTCGAAAATCTGCGCAATTTTCCTTGTGGACTCATACGGTCTCAGAAATCGTATCCATTCTGAGTAGTAATATAGTCACATCCGTCTAGTCGTCAAGTGAGTGAGTGATAACGACTGTGAGCAGGGAGAACTCAATCAACAAATTCCTGAGCTATGGGCTCGTGAAAAGCTTATGTGGCCGTAGCGGGTTGAGGCTGATTAATTTAATTTCTGTTTCTGGTTTCTCCATACCATCTGCACAGGGTTAAATCCTGAGAATAGAATAAATCGTACGTTTTTCGAGCCTGTTAATCGGCTGGATATCTTGCATATCTATGCATCTGATACCGCACGAACACTATATTTGTGGTAGTCAATGAATCATACGTTTTTCGAGCCTGTTGATAGGATGGATATCTTACCTATCTATGCATATGATACCGCACGAACACTATATTTGTGGGTCCCATTACATTGAACTACCACTTGTGATCGGCCGGAACTATGCAGTTTCTGTACCTTTGGATCTTATGGATTCTAATTTTGCCATTTATCACAGGTACGCATAAAAGCTACGACATCTCAGCTTATGGTGGCACTGTAAGAGAAGGCAAGGAGTTACTTTTAATAGCTAGCTGGCATGGGTGATGTATAATGAAAAAAGCGGCTGAATTTTCTCAAAACTTTTGAGACACCCTAGTAGAATGGTGATATTCGGAACCGCAACCTCGACCAGATACGCACAAATTGAGCGACTAAAGGGATCGTAGAGTTTTGGAAAAAAGCGGTTCTTCAAGGTTCTCGCGCGATGCAGTTTAGGCATTCTCTTTGTCCTTAATTAACCCCTGATTGTGGATTTTATGGTTTTACAAAGCTGGTAACCAGGACCACTCAACATGAAGAGAGGCAGATGAAGTATAAGGAGAAGGAAGCCACAAACTCCTATGTCCAGCCACTAACGTTTAACTTCAACAACATAGATAAACATGTACACAGGACATTGAGTAAACAGGTCTCTGAGAAGTAGCACATCGCTGCCTAACCCTCCTCTTTAAGAAACCAAGCTCTATATTTAGCAGTCGTCTTTGGTCAAGTGTGAATGCAATTTTAAGTTTATGCCCGTGACTACGCTACCATAGCTACCTTTTTTTTCAGGAAAGCGAGGTGGAGGTAGAGCAAGACCAAGACCTCGAGGTATAGGAAGAAGACGTAGTAGAAAAGTAACTATCAAAGTCTAAACTTATCTTACTCATTTTGATAAAGTTTGTACCTTCAGAGGCCTCGATCGAGAAAACGCAAAGGCTCAAAACCGTCCAAGAAAAAAGGAAAGAAGTCCGACAAGGATAAAAAGTCCAAGAAGAAAAGTGAAAAAGATAGCAAAAAGCAAAAGAAGAAAAAGGAAAAGAAAGACAAAGACGGCGAAGAAGGAGATGGAGAAGGGGGTGGCGACGGAGGTAAGCTTTCGCCAAGTCTGAGTTATTCACTCGACATAGACTATACCTTCTGAAGAGTATAGTGAAGAAGGCCTAGAAATTTGAGTGTCATGACGGCCGGGGCCGATTGCACTTAGATGGTGCCACTGCCTGCGACGGGGCATCAGTGTGTGAAGTGTAAGAAGATCTAGTCCCTCTCACAGCTCTATTTCATAACTCAGGCCTCTTCAGAGAAAATCTTTTTCTCAACCCTTTTAACCCTTCATGTCGGTCGATGAGTTCCAAAGTTGTCGTGATGGGTATAGCAATTATATCCTTGAGCTTGGATTACCCGTCGACTTGAACTTATAAGGCACCGATGATCGGTATTCCATCCCAGGCACTAGGATGATTTGGAAGCAAGCTGCTTGCAAGGGCCCTTTTAGAGGAGGGGGGGGGGAGCAATC